ATCTAGGGAAATTATGTGAATGCAATGACAAGAGAAGATTTTGGTACTAGTATTTTGGTCAGTTTCACAATTACAGTAATCACTGGTCATGTAGGCATAAACCAGATTTTTCATTTAGAACAGAAAGGAAGTACTGGATTTTAGAGATGTTATAGGGTATGCCTCCTTAAGCCCATGCTGAGCTCAGGCTAGTGTCTAGCTCCCCCTTGTATCTGCACTATAGATGCTCTATCCCAAGGCATGGACCCAGGATCCTTTAAGGCTGGTGCATCTGAACTTGAGTTAAGATGGGACCCAGGATCTGAGCACAATGCTTTGTAGTGTAGGTACATCTCCACTTGACTCGGGTTCTGGGAGTCAGCCAGCAGTATCCCACAATTCCATGGGACAACTTCCTTAGTCCTTTCTAACCCAACTATTTGCAGTCTACTGAACCACTCACCACTCCATTTCCAATAGCAGTCCAGGTAGGTCAGCATTAGGCCATTCTGTCCCTATCACAGATCTGTAAGTATAGTCAGAAAGCCTCCAGGGTTTGCAACAGAGAACAAACTTATCAAGACTTTGCAAAGCCAATTTATTTCTGGTAAAGTGCAACATGAGCAAAGTTTTCCCCACAGTACAACATGGTCCTATGGATACAGTATCCATATTGTGGGGGAGTAGGAAGGCATGTTAAGAATGGGTGAAGGGCTCAGATTTGGATACTGCAGTTTGGATGCCAGAGATCTAGGTTTGAGCATGGGTTAATAAAAAAAAAAAGTACAGATAAAATACAATTTAGAAGCTCAAGCCCAAAGCTCCCTAACAGGCTTACATTTCAGCACAGACACCTATAGAAAGGAAATTGATAGGACCTTTAAATAACCTGGACATGAGTGATGGTTAATACAAAGAAATCTGCAAGAGAAAGTTGAGGTTGCCAGCCACCTCACTAACCTTTATTGATGGCAGAAAGTACAGTGCTATTATCAGAGTCAAAGAAAAGGGTGTGAGGAATGAAGGGTCAAATGTAATGTTAAACTAAAGAAATCATGTGAAGCCCATGGCCACTTAAATTTTAAGAGATTAATCAAAATCCACATTTCCCAACAAAACTAGCAGGATAGCAAACACTATTTTCAAGAGGTATTATAGAAAATAGAGAATAATAAAAGAAAATAAAGTACTATGGAAATATTATTTGACCAGTGCCTCTCAAGAACTTCAGCTTGCTGTTTGCTTGGTTGTTCAAACTCATAAATTGCTTTTATTGCTGGGTGTTCTCTACAGCTATTGTACTTTGGCAGGCATTTGGCAGGCCATTAAAACGCAAAGCACCACATGAGAATTTGAAGTGCATGGTGCCTACTGCTGCAAATCTTGAAACAGCCACTACTCTGATGGTAGATTTTTCTTTTTTCCCCCCAAACACACTCCATATCTGTGATTAGAATTTGTTCCAAAAATCTAATTTTCAAGTGATTTAATTGTTCAATCCTGGGAGGTATTATTATTTTCAATTAGCTCACTTTAAAATTGTGTCAATTATTCCCAGCACTTTACAGTGAAAAAATATGTACTTTTTAGCAATCATATCTTATTTGAGAGGAACCTTCAAAGGTACAAGATAAGGATTTAAATCTCTAGCGCACCGTGAAACATGTCAAACTCCCCATCACTATCTGTCCTGGGCCGGGGAACCTAGTGATCCAACCAATGGACCAAATTCAGTGATGAACCCTCATCACATGCCGTGTGAATCAAGTTGTGCATTCACGAACAAGAAGAATCCCCACTGCATATGTTAATATTAGTACTAGTTATCAAGACTAGGAACTGGAACTGGTACAATAACTGCAGTATTTCCATAGTTGTTTTGCTTTGAATGAGACTAGTGGTCTCTCAAACACAATGAACATCTTCTCTTTAAAGTATAAAGAAGACAAAAGGGACTGAAGAAAGTTTTGCTGACTATAGTATATACAATCTTAGAATAATGTTTAAATAATATTATGATGTAACATCCTACCAAGATCACCTCTTCATTTAAAATGCACTGTATATACCACAGAAGAGATTAAAGTTTAAACTGCTAACATAAGATAAACAATATAATTGATTTGCATAAGTGATTTTATTCATATAGTACACAATATATCTTGAAGATATTTAGTCAGATATTTAATTGAGCAGATAGACATTGATCCCGTATCCACTGAAGTCAAGACAAAGTTCTCATTGACTTGAAAAGGATGTAGGTAGAAATGGACTATAATTTAGGAAGTTTATCCAAGAAGTTAGGTGAATTGAACAGAGCAACAGAATTTTGCAAAATATTACAATTTTTATTTGCCCATTTTTCAACTCTGCATTTTAGTTTCCTGAATTTTGCTTGTTTTCTTGGTTATTTGTCCATTGTTTAATTTGGAATTTAACCTAGCTGCTAATCATTAACGACCCCCAAAACAGTATATAAAACTTACACAGGTTCATGGCTAGTTTCTTTTTTCTCCGCCTCCCAAAATGTGTTAGTTCTTACACTAATCTGAATTGCCAGTGTCTGAATCCTTATTTGTTATCGGAAGTTCACTTGCTCTCTAATAATACCTGACTAGAAAATAGCAGATATTTAACTCGGCAAGCTACCAAGTGCCAGAAAACATCTAAACAAGAGGATCTCTGCTATTATGAATTATGGAAATAACAAAAAAAATGGAATGAAAACAGAGGATTTAGCTTTCAATATGAGGAATACTATGCCCAAACTTCTATTTGCATATAGTTATAGAAAAAATATTCTCTTTACAGTAGCAGGCTAGTATATTATTCTAGTTGCAGTAGCATGACCTCATAATAGCTCCACTGAATTCTCTAATTTTGAAGGGTTTTTTCCACCTTCATTGCTGTAAGTATAGCACATTGAATAAGACTTCAACCAGAGTGATGCTTTTTTTTTTTTTGATAAGTAGTAGTTCCAGTCCAAAAGCTAATATAAATAATAACATTAACTTGTTTATCAATTCTTCTATGAGTTTCCTATTAGGACTAAATTTTACTTTTCAATCTGACAAATACATGTAAAATATATTAAAGTACTGTTAAAAATATAAGCAGCTCTGTTTTTGCAGAACTGCAGCTACCAAATACAATGTAGCTTCTACTGACTTCAGTGGACTTTAGATCAGACTCTGGATGATTAAGTTGATCTTCCAATGAAGAAACCTGAACCTTTCACGATTCTTTTTCTCTCCTACCTTGCTCCTTTCCATTTTCTATTCCCTCTAACCACTTTCCTTTGTGCTGGCATTTCTCAGTAACATGGTGATATAAGAATACAGTGTTTTCCAGCCTTCAACTTTAAACTGTTATTTCTGTGAGGATCATCAAGAAATTAGTTTCCAATCTTTTGCTGGATTGGAGTTTTGTACAAATTTAAGAACCAATAGCAGACTTCCAGATGATAATCTAAATGATATGATAAGGTAGGATACTTTTCAGATATCTGGGCCTTGGATCATTCGGAGCTTTAAAGATCAATAAACACCCTACACTGCAGACAGAAACAAACAGGAATTCAGTGCAGAGAGGAGATCTGTGTTTATACTATTCATGATGGATAGCTGTATTATACACTAATTGGAACTTGCTGGTAGTATGTTTGATATCTACATGCAAATTAATATAGATATAAATAGCTACAACATCTCTTATTTTAGTGAATTATTTATTTATTGCCTAGTTAGTTTTTCTTGCGTGTCTTATTGCAAACAATAAAGTGTGCATTTCTCTTTCCATCTTCTGTCACTTTCCATCAGCTAGTTCCTTTATATAAGATAAAAGGCAAATGCATGATAAACTATAGCATATTTCTATCATGTCTGTGATGCCTTTTCTTTTTCCTGTGGCCCCTCTCATCCTAGAAATTGAATAGATTCATCCTTTGTAGATCTATTTGCAAGTTTAATGTCTTCTGTTTTCTGTGACATTTGTACACAACAAGCAAGTTCCATAAAAATACTCAAGGTTAGCTCTAATTTATTGAAACTCCTTTACATTTTTAGCCCTGTAGGCAATTCTTTGTAGGATTTCAACTAACGTAGTAAAGCACATGTGACTCTCTGATCACTCTCTATCTACACCAGCTTCTTTTTTATTTCTGAAGCATTTTCTTTTCACTACAGAGGCAGGCCCAAGGTTATGCTTATAACTTTGGTTTGCTTAGCAGCTTTAAAAAGACAGTATAATGAATAACGAAAGTTTTTATTAGAGTCAGTTATAATTATTTGCTAGTGAATGTCAAAATAAGGCTTTTTTTTAAAATTGCAACGGTTCACAAAAATTTGTGGACATCAGTTTCTCAGATTGTGAAACTTTCTGGAATGTTTATCAACATTTTTATTTAAAATTTACAATTAAATTTGTTTACTAAAATCATATTTCTGGTCATTAACATTTTGAATTCAGGGGAAAAAATATCAAGAAAATTTTCAAGAAAATGAAGAATTATTCCATTTAAACGCTGTCAGAGAAACAAAATTGAAAGTTCAAAGATTTTTATTAAATATTTTCCTTTTTTTTTTTAACTAGCTTTATTCTAGTTAAGCACATATATTTACTTTCAGTGCACCTGCAAAATGAAAGGAGTATGCATGGTTCGGGGTAGGATAGAAGATGATAGACAAATCACTGAACTCCAGAATGAGATCATCCTTATTCTTCTAAATACAATTTATTTGTATGTATAGCTGAACATTTTCATTCTGATTTCCAAGTAAAAAAATTGAAGCAGTTTGATTTACTTTGGTACCTTGCCTGAAATATATTCTGAAAGAACATTTTAGAAATAAAGTGGTTTCTAATGAGAAAGAAAACTCTTACAAGGAATTTTCATTTGAAATTATTCCAGTGCTTAAACAAAGTGTACATTCTGTATAGAAACAGAAGGTCAGGTCCTATCTTCAGGAGCAAATCAACAAAGTCTATTGATATAAAAAAAAATTTTTGATCTAGTTTCATACCTCACTCCAAAAAGACTGACCAATCTTTATTAGAAAGGAGACCTTCCCACTAGCAGCACTGCTCAGCATTTCCATGTTGGCCTCCAGCAGGAAATTCCTGAGACTCCTGTAGGGATGGTGAGCAAATAGCTGTGCTATTCTGAAAGAAAGGTACAAAACTAAATTAGAAGCTACCAGACATAAGTGAAACTAGAGAAATTAAGGAATTAAGTGATATAGTAGCTGAATTAAAGACTGGGATGGAAACGACAAAGCAGAGGGTCAGTTATATAAATAATGGCGATCCTCTAGTAAATAAGGAAACTGACTTGTGAAAACCCATGTGTATTTTATTCCAGGTGAGAGAGGATATTGATGTGATCAAAGGTTGGATACAGGGTACTCTAGAGAGAATACTTTTGAATTTATACAGAAATTGTTCAGAAGTTTTCCTGCAGGACAGAGAGATGCCCAAATGTGGAAATTGAGAAATTCGACAGAACTCTGACTTGGGCTAGGTCTACACTTGCACTTGATCAGCAAAAGCTTTGTTGTTCATGGGTGCATGAAAATAAATGCCCCCATGAATGACAAGAGTTTTGCCATGGCAAGTAAAAATGTGAATTTGATTTTTTTGTAAATCAACATGTTTGAATGAATTTTAGTGGAAAATTAAATGTGTGTTTACCCCCACTAGATGTAAGTAGTAGTATATTTCTTTTGTGAAATAGGATCCTGAAGGTTCAATTATTAGCCCTCCTCATGCAAGAAAAAGATTAGAACAATTAATCCAAAATATTAGGGGTGAAATTGTGTTTAACTGTAAAATATTTTTAACCTAATGATGAGTAAGAGCAATTAGCCTGCATAAGTGTTATTTTTTCTAGTGTAAGTATATAAAATATTAAGAAAAGAATATAAAAGAAAATTAAACATATTATTGCTGCTCATGAAGCACAGTTAATTAGCTTAGATGCACTGGAAAACATAGGTATTTATTTACACTCCTTCAGTCATGGTAAATAAATCCATTAAAATATCATTTAAACAAGAGTATATTAAAAATGTATTCTAATAGCATATTTTTTCCTCTGTTCTCTCCCTCAGACACACAAACACACTTAATTTTCTGCAAAGCATTATAAACTCTCCCCTCCCCCCCCAAAAAAAAACCATTGCTAAAAATTGTTTCACTATGATAATGCCAGACTTCATGTGGTTTCCCCCATTGGCTTTATCTATGTTTAGTTTTAACCATTATTCTTGATGTAAGTCATTAAAAATCTTATAATGGGCACATTAATAATGGCACGGTATTATAACTTCTTCAGTGCAACAGGAATGAAACCCACATTTGTCCTTTTATTTAATTTGTAGCATATGAATACAGAATATTATTACAGTAGATGATAAAAAAGATTAATTTAAGTACAGAGTGGTATTATGCACATGAAAAAATCTATTTTATAGATATTTTATTATTTATTTATTTGATCAAGTAGAATAAAGCTAAACAGTATAGTGTATGTTTTTGTACAGATGGCCAAATAGGCAGAAATAGGATTTTGGTAGTGTGTGTGTGTGTGTGTGTGTGTGTGTGTGTGTGTGTGTGTGTGTGTATTTACACACACACACACACACACACAGAGAGAAAGAGAGAGAGAGAGATTCATGCTTCGTGGTTTTATTATTATAATGAAATTCAGTTCAGTGACCCTAGTCTTTGGAATAGCAAGTTCCTGATCTTTCTGTGGAAAAAGACAAGTTATAGGAGACGTATAGACAGAAAAAGGTAAACAGAGGAGAGTCCACCTAAATGACAGAGAAGAAAGTAATTATCAAAGTAAATGTGAAAGGGAAAAAAGAGAAGACAGGAAAGAAAACAGAAAAAAACCACCCTGATTTGTATTTGAAACCACTGTCCACAGCACAAAGAATCATAATTGCACCTTTATTCTGAAAGAGGAGATCAGTCTTGACACCCTATGCATGGCCCTGCATATAAAAATTGACATTGGGTAAGATATAAACTTGGGTTGATGAGACAATCTGAGGTGTACAATGTTGGCTGCAAATCATAACTATTAGTTTGAATATTAAGAGATGCCACAATGGACCCTACATTCCTCATATGTGACCCTATGTTTTTCGCATGCAAAACATTTCTCTTCCAACACTCAGCTGAAAATATGTCCTGCTTATGGGATATATAGAGTTGAATCGCACATTAAGTTAATCAAGATCACTATGTGCTAATTAAATACATTATAAAAACAAATATGCCATTAGTAAAATGCTATAAATAAATATTAATGATGGTCTAATTGAGGATATATTGCTGGTAAAAGCTTTTCATTAAATGCATTTCACATCATCTGCAGAAACTCTTGTAGAAAATTGCCTCTGCTCCTCTCTCAAAATGTATTCTGACCCCAATCCAATGTGCTTAAATAAATTGCAGTGCCCATCAGATCAAAAGAAGTGTAATGACAGTTTTTACAGTAATCTATGCAAGTTGAATATGCAGCATCTAGGGATTTTTTTTGTTAAAGACAGGACTTAAGTGTGACACGGGTGGTCCCTAGGTCTTGGGCTTGCTCTCTGAAAACAGCAAATTACACTCTGTATGTGCTACTATGTTTATCTCTTTATTTAGAATTGCTAAAGTGAAATCTAAAAGGGAAGAGTAAATTAGTGTGAATAAGTGAAATGAACCTTGCAGAATGGCTACTAAATATGTTTTTTATCAATAAGATGTGGATGCAATAAGCAAACATGACTGAGGACACAGGATCAGTTATCATATTAACCATACATTGTTACCTTTGGATCGAATGACTAAATGGAGCAATTTTGCAACCATGATATAAATGGAAAAATATATTTACTTGTGTTTCTGTCTACACTTAGAGATGCCTACAGTTACCATAAAAATGGTAAGGAAATCCCAAGGCAGACTATGATATCTCCAGCTCAAAGATGCCATATTGATTGATGCAGCAGACAGAAATATGGGGAAAGGCAGGGGACAGTTAGCCTTCAACTTCCACCTATGGAAGACACTGCTTAGGGACAGGATACTCAACACAGAGCCTGTGGGCATGACTCGTCTGTTTGCGACACGTTGTGCAGTTTAGGTTTCTTCTGTGGATCTTTAATTCGAGCTTTTTGCCTTTCCAAAGAAAGTTTCTGCAGTCGGGGAGGAGGAAGGAGGGAGTTAAAAATCTTTTATTTTCAGTGATAAAACTGGACAGGCCTTGAAAGATCTGTAGAAAAGACAAGATGCTCATCTTTAGGAGATGAATCCTGAACCACAATGCAAAAGCCAGAATCTCTTTAAAATAATGGTGTAATGTTACTTTGAAAGCCATATTTCAACTTCAGAGAAGCTTCCACACCAAAAAGCTTGCTCTAGAACGGTGGTGGGCAACCTGTGGCCCATTGGGGTTCTGCCTGTGGACTGCAGACCCCCTGTATGCCCTCTTCCTCACACATCTCTAGCACACTGGAATACTGGAGCCCTGCACTTCCTTTTTCTTGCCCTTCCCTCCCAGCACATTCAGAGTGTCACAAATCCGCCAATTCATACTCTATCACCACTCCTGCCCTGCCCTCCCCTCCCCCGAGCTGGAAAGCCGCAAATTAGCTCTTCCCAGTGTTCTAGCTCCAGCGAGAGTCATGCCCATCCAGGGAGCAGCCACCACCAGCTTCCCGAGGGGATGGAGCTGGCAGCCTTGGAATATAGGAAGGATAAAGGTGGCCCCTGAAGCTAGGGACGCAGCTGGCAGTGCTAGCAGCTGGTGGTGACTAAGCAGATAGCTGAGGGCCGAAGCCCCGCCCACTCTGGGAGCAGCTATCTTCAGATTCACCAGGGACAGAGCTGGTACGGCTGGAACATAGGAAGGGAGTGGGGGGAAGCAGGGATGGAATGCAAAGCGTCAGATTCATGAGGTGCTGAAAGTGATGAGAAGGCAGGGGAGGAGCAAAGAAGTGTGAAGCTGAATGAGTTAGCAGCACATGGGGGAGGGTAGCACACAGGGGGTCCATGGACCACATGAGGCACACTTACTAATCATGTGCAGCATGATTAGTACACCAGCAACACCATCACAGGACCTAACCAGATCAGCCATATTGTCACTGGTACATTCTCCTGCATATCCACCAACGTAATATATGCCATCATGTGCCAACAATGCCCCACTGCTATATACATCGGCCAAACTGGACAATCCCTACGTAAAAGAATCAATGGACACAAATCTGATATTAGGAATGGCAACATACAAAAACCTGTAGGGGAACAGTTCAATCTTCCTGGACACACAATTGCAGATCTAAAAGTAGCCATGCTGCAGCAAAAAAACTTCAGGACCAGACTTCAAAGCGAAACTGCTGAGCTACAGTTCATCTTCACGTTTGACACAATCAACTCTGGATTAAACAAAGACTGTGAATGGCTCCCCCACTACAAAAACAGCTTCTGCTCTCTTGGAATTCACACCTCCAGATCAGCTGCTAGAAGTGAGCCTCATCCTCCTTGATTGGATCCACCTTGTCATCTCCAGCCTGATCCTGGCCTGCATATTTATACCTGCCTCTGGAAATTTCCACTACATGCATCTGACGAAGTGGGTCTTTGCCCACGAAAGCTTATGCTCCTACACTTCAGTTAGTCTGTAAGGTGCCACAGGACTCCTCATCGCTTTTGCAGATTCAGACTTACACGGCTATCCCTCTGTTACTAATCATGGTAGCCCATCACTGCACTAGAACATGCGAATTTATCTGAAACTAAGACATTGTTTATCCCTTTCCAGTGGGGGTTGCTTTGGACTTTTCTCAGGAGAAAAGAGTTTTAATCTTTCAAATGCCAGCAATTATTCTAGTTTTTCAAAATACAAATAATTTATTCTGACAGCACTGCATTGTGTCTTAAACCCCCATAATTCTGTGAGTTGATTCAGTTTATATCTTTTCTCCTTCTGAGTAAATATTGTTCCTTCAAGAAGCTTGATACATGAATTGCCTGTTGCTTTGAAATACATCAGAGCACTGGAAACCAAATATATGGTATTCTTATTTCCTGTGTATCTATTATTTGAAGTGTTACGAGGCTTGGGAAAAATCCAAAGCCA